AGATTATTAGTTGTCAGGATCTAATATAAATTTTGTTTACGATTTAGTTACTTTAGGTACTCAGATTGAAGAAACTCATTTAACCCCATGACTGGGCAGCTTTAAGCATCAAGAGAAGGCCACTGAAAAGTCCCCACTGCCCTTTGCACTTTCCCAGTAATCTTGAATTACTACAACTTAATTGCAAATATCAAGGCACTAAATTGAGCCCCCCTCCCCCACTTTGTGAACGCGGCACAGCTCGGCCGATGGAGCCTCCCAAGGAAAAACCCATCTACACAGCTCAGGTACCAGGAGCCTTTCTCTCAGGCACTGCTCTCTCCCAGGGGCCGGCTAGGTAGGAAATGTTTTTCTCACTTGAAATCCCACAAAATAACCCCCAAACAAACACCTGTTGTGCACAAGGAAGGGCATACATTAAAAACTGCCATCAGGGGATTTCAAAAAGAAAAACAAGCCTTGCAGAGGCATCCACGGCTGATTTGCTCAATAGATCTCAGGACTGGGGAAAACCACGCAAAGCAAAGGATTCAGCTACTGGCACAACCTTCTCCTAAATGGGAGCTGGCGTCTAAACACAACCCGAAAAATGCCTTAGCACAAACGGGCTGTCATTAATAAGAATAATTTCTTAAGGAAACAAAGAGCACTGTCTAATTGTCTTTCCCCGACTGCCATGTACTTCACCTCACTGTACTTCCTCTTTCCAGAATACCAACCTTACAGCCATAACTGTAAGAACATTCTCTATAGGATGAAAAACCAAAACACTTCTTGAAACCAAACATTCCTTACAACACTTATTTTTAGGTTCGGCGACACAAGCCAAATCTGCTTAATTTCCATTAACCGCATCGTCACATGCACGTGGAAATAAACTATGTAGGTCCCGGGGTGGGGACAATCTTCATGCACGAGACTCCCATATTTGGCCACGTTCTCCCATGTCGGGGATTCATCAAATCCCGTGGCCTGCCAAGGTTCTAGCTTTTGGCACCTCTAACCCTAGTTCATCCGGGTACCATGGAAGAGACAGCTTTTTAAAAATCGGTTTAAGATGGCTCCTTGGATAGCCCACATAGGACACAGTGGACCACAGACCAGTGTAACCGGTCACGAGAAAGATCCTTTAGAAAATACATGGGCCCAAATGCAAACTTACTTGGTTGGCTGGCTTGATTCACAAATGCAGTGTTTGATCACCTCGTGGGATGACTACCATCAACTGAAGAAGTTAAAAAAAAATCCCCTGCAAATAGTAAAAATATATGTTGGCTCCTGTCTATTCAGCAGATGCCTCTCATAAGGTTATTTTCTTTAGAAAACAAACCTCTACTTGCTTGAGACCTTTACACACTCGAGGTCCAAATAACATAGAAAAAAAAAAAAGCTGGCTTAGCAAAAATGGCATTTACTATGACTGAATTCTATAAAAGAAGTATGACACCTAACAAGATAAGAAAGGAAAAGAAAAAGCCCTTAGCAAAAACATTTTTTTGCAAAACAAAAATACCACCTGTGCAAATCTAGCTATGCTCTCAAAACCCTTTCTCAGCCACAGAGAAACAGCTCACGCTCAATGCCTTGAAGTTGCAATTAAATTGTAGTAATTTAAGATTATCAGGAGAGCAAAGGGCAGGGGGAGCTCTTTGGAGGGCTTCCCTCCCCTCTTAATGCTCTTCAGTCAGGGGTTAAATGAGTTTCTTTAATGTAAGTACCTTAAAGTAACTGAATCATAAACAAAATTTATACTATTTTCTGACAGCCTGCAATCTATTTAAATTTTATTAACGTGTGCCTAAAATTATTTTTAAAAGACAGAACTCCTGCAATGCCCTGTAAATATTCTTGGCATACCTGCTGAAATGTAATCAGAAGGATAACAACTAACATGGCTGAATACACATACTTTTTTTGTGATGCGGAGTCTTACAAGATAACGTTTCAAAACGAAGTTGGAGTCTTAAGTAAAACAAGAAAACTAAACCAATAGCACAATAAGATTGGCTGCAAAGGGGAAGCTGGGTTCAAAAGAAGTTGTCACATCTGCTACGTTCTGTTCTCCATTCTCTTAACGTTGGCATTGGACGTGCTGTGGTAGAAATATATTTGTTTAGGAAATATCACAATTCTTCTGTTAATTTAAACAATTGCTGAAAACAGACATATCCTTCAATAGAGCCTCAGAACACAAATGTACAGGGCCAGGGTAGAGTCTTAAGAGAAGCAAGGAAAAACTCAGTAACAGAAAACCATGCCTAGGCTCAATATTAACCCAGTTAACTTTTGTTATTGTTGGTACAAATGATTTAACTAGAAAATATTTACAGCTTCTCAAAAAACATTACATATTGCACAGAATTGCCTAAGAGCATCCATGTGTATGTTTAACTCCCATTGTTTAATTATACAATAAAAAATATATCCAATGAAAGCCACACACTTTGAAACAAGTTAGGCACTAAGGTTATGAAACTGACATAAAAAAACAAAGTGTTTACTGTGTGATCGACATATTAATTAAAAACGCAATCCTTAGGTGACAATCATTTTTATTCTTTATGTGTTTACTTGTCCTATTTCCTACTTTGTTCTAGTTAATTAAAAATGACATTTAATTTGGGGAATAGTTTATAGCAAAAAAAAAAAAAAAGTGTTACAGTTTTTACTCCAGCATTTAAATGTAAACACAAAATCTTACAGACAAATCCAGCAATATAAGCCCCTTAATTTGAGACAGTTAATTTTAATAGTCGATGTTGCTTTCATTATACTTTGATAAACTTGTAAAAACAAAATGCTAAAGTAACTGCTGTTACTACTCCCTTTAAAAATGTAAAGCAGTTAAATTTTCCTCGACAACAAGCAAGGACAAGTTACAGAGAACTTGAATAAAAGTAGCAACGTGGTCATGTTGAATGTCAATCTAAAAAAAGAGGTTATGTCTAATCTGGAGAATGCTCCCTCTCGCCTTTTTAAATTCCAAGAGTGGGCTGACACAAAACTTCATCACCAGGGATTTTTCTGTGTTTTCTTTTTCTTCTTCTTCTTTTTTTTTTTTTTGAGCTTCACATCAGATTTAAACCCTCACATTCAAAACCTTGGCTTTCCTGACAAGGCAGATCTTCTAAACTTGAAGTGAGAAAACGTTACCTAACTCTAGTGTACGAGTCTGATGTTGGTAAAAAGAATTCCACTGCACAGTCCTGGGTAGCAAAGCAGCCTCTGGAAGACTTAATATTCATTTCATACCTTGGTGCATGCATGTTCTTCACCAACAAGACTGTATTAGAAAAATAACTTATTTAGCAACTCCACATCCATCAAGAACTCAAATGCTGTATTTCCTTCCAAGTGAGCCTTAGCTCACACAGCAAAGATCAGAATTTGCAATGGTCCATTTCTGCATTAGTGACTATATGGCTTTGCTGCTTCATCGAATAGTCCAGGGTTCTCCATGTAGAGCTCCTGACAACAAGCCAGCAGCAGGTCTGTTTGATCTCTCCTGCTTCCTTAATTTGGGTTGTCAAGGTTCAGCAGTTGGAGGCTGTTTACTTTACTTTCCAAAAAAAAAAAAAAAAAAAAAAAAAAACCTGATTTCTTTTTCTCTCTCTCATACAATGACTAATCCAAAGTCTGGGGGGGGTGGGGGATGCAGCCAGTGGTAAGATGCTAAACCTCTTTTTCCCCCCCTTTTCAGTGAGAATTTAGCTGACATCTTTTGCATGGTAACTAGTTGAGTTCCTTTTTATATTTTTAATGCTCTTTAATAAGGAGATGTTTCGAGTAGAAAAGTCAGAGAGGGGAAAAAAAAAAAACCATTCCAAATCTCTGAAACTGTAAGCCCAATTTTCTTTTCCTGGACTCAAAGAGATGGGTATTTCCACTTTGAGAATCAAAACTCCAGTGGAATTCTAAAAAAGATTTGATACATTCTCTCTGGAACTAAAAATAACAGCAACTCCTCTGTCTCAATTATGCAGGCTAAACCCACTAAGAAAACACCTGAACTCTTACCATTTCTCTTCCAATTCTAGTTAGGACATCTCCTCCCCAACCCCCAAACTGATTATCACTATGGGAAAAATGAAGGGAAGGAGACAGAAGGTAAAAATTTTGCAGAGATTCTTCAATATATTTTCAGCAGTTAAAAAAAAAAAAAAAAGCCCTTAAATATCCTTCAGGTTTTTTCAATTCAGCTATTGTGCAAGTCCTAAATCCTAAAGCCTACGGATAACCAAAGGTAAAGTGTAGATGGCTTCAAGGTATAGACTCCTTGCAAAAGGGATAACAGAATACCCTTCTAGCATTCCTGTTTTGAAAAGCAGTAAAAAAAAAAAAAAAAAAAGGAAACCCGAACTTAGAAAATACCTGTGACCGGACAGAACAACACGAGCCCCTTCTAAGTGGGCTGGAGACGCTTAAATGCAACCAAATGAAATGTTTACATTAATTTCATTATTCTGCCCAAGCCTCACAGATGAGGTGCTGGAGGGGGTGGGGAGGGAGAGGGGGAAGGCGGGGTGTTAGGAAGAGGAAGAAATAAGTTTCATTTCGGGTTTTCTGGTCAAGCAAAAGGAAAATGAATTAAAACGAATGCGTAGGATGAGCCCAGACTAAATCAATACACTTTGTAATCAGCCCGGCAAGGGTATTTGGACACAATGACTTGGAAATAATTAATAGTTATAAGAGGGGAGTGGGGTGAGAAGGGGGGGCGAGAGATGTCACCATATTTTATCGGAGCACTTCATACTACACGCTAAACTTTGATCTCCAGATTCTCAGATTTAGGAAAGGGGGGAAAAAAGGAGAAAGTCCAGTATTTCGAGGCACCTACCGGCTTGAGGATGGGCACATTCCTGGCTCCAGGCGCCTCATCCCTGAGCTCGCACCGCCCATGCCGGCGCTTGGGGCACAGAGAGACCCCGGGAGGCTCTAGGGTATCGTCTGCCCCCGCCCGCTTCCTCGCCCCGGCGCCCGCGGCCGCCTCGACTTACCGGCGGAGTCCGGGGAGGGAGTGGGGGCGCCGCCTTCACGCCCGCGGACGCGGCGCCGGCAGCACCATGGTCCCCGGCGCCGCCGCCGCTGCCCCTCGCCCGCTGGCTCGCCGCGCGCTCTCTTCCTCTTGCAAACTTTCGGGTTCTGCGGTCGACAAGAAACCGGGGCGACCCTCAGCAAGTCCTCCTGGCTCAGGTTGGGGGGAAACTGAGGGGGGTGGGATAAGTGAAGAGGCTGGGGGACGGAGAGAGAAGGCGGCGGGATCGGAGGACCCCCGAGCGCCGGTGGACACAGGGAGGACGTGGCTCAGGGAATCCCTGCAAGGATCCCGAGACCGGGAAGTCGGCCCGAGCCAAAGTCTCAGCACCTTCCCCGGGATCTTACAAAGTTGCAACAACAAAAAAAGGAGGGGGGGTGGGGGAAGGGGTGGGAAAGGGATACGATCGCAGGCGCAAGGTTTGAAGTTACAACTGTTTATTTAGTCCTTATTCTCCCAGGGGCGGGAGCTGCGCGGGAAAGGGGAGGGGGAGGCTGCAGGCTGCGGTTTCGAAGCCAACACTGGGGAGGGGGCGTACGACTTTGTTTCTGGGCGCGGAGCTCCCCGGCGCCCGCGTGTGTCGCCGTCAGTCTCCGGGGACCCAAGCGGAGCTCACAACAGGTGGGGAGGGGGACTCGCCGAGGGCCGAAAAGGAGAAGGAATCAAAGTTTCCGAGCGGCGGTATCTGGGGAGGAGCGGGGAGGGAGGCGGGGGAGAGGGGAGGCGGAGGCGGCGAATGACCGCGACCCGAGGCAATGGGCGAACTCTCGGCTCCCGGCGCCGCCGCCGTCCCCGCCCGGAGCGCACGCAGTCCCGGCTACCGGCTCAGCCGAGTCCTCTCTGCGGGACGGCGACGGAGCGCAGGGAGCTCGCCAGGCAGGCTGAGTGCGGGCGAGGGATGGCGAGCCATCGGCCGCCGGGACGGGGCCAGCGCGTCTCAGGACAGATCCAGGCTTGGGGGGGGGGGAACCCGGTACCCCAAGCTTCAAAGGAGAGTAACCCCCGAAAGTGTGTGCGGCGGAGGGGAGGAGACCCGATGCGGCGCCTCCCCGCAGCGCACCCCGTCCCCACTCCCACCCGCAGAGCTTGGCCACGGCCTGTGCGCCGCAAGGCTGGACTCTCGGGGTCCGAGCGAGTATGAGGGCGCGTGTCCAGCTGGGGGTGCGCGAATATGTGTCCGAGTTTTCTGTGCTCCGGGGGATGGCTGCGGCGTGTCCCCGCCGCCGGGTTCGGGGCCAGGCGCCTATGGCATCGAGGATGTCCCCAGGCGCCGGCCCCAGGGTGAGGGCATCCCGTCCTTACAGTCCAGGGGCACCGCGGGGGGACGCACCCGCGGAGAGCGAAGGGAAAAAGTTTGCGGCAAGTCCAAACTTCGGGCTCCAAAGGCTCCCGGCGCGCGCCCCCTCCCACCACAGACTCGACCCCGGCCTCGCGCCCGCCTGGCTACTCGATTGGCACCCCGACGCCCGACATCGAAAGTTGCGCCAGGCGGCCTGGGCTTATTGATTGCTCTCCCAGCAGCGATCGCCCAGAGCGCAGAGCCAGGCGCGAAGGGGCCGAGCGGAAGACGATCTCGCCTCCCCGCCGCCGCCGCCGCCCCCCACCCTCATTTGACTTATGGAAATGGACCCGAGCTTGCGGGCGCAGCCGCCGGAGGCCCCCGCCCCCACCCCCCGCGCCGGCCGGTAAACCCTCCCCCCCCCACCCCAGAGCCTGGGCCCCGGCCCCGGGGGAGAGAGAGGCTGAGAGAGGAGGGCTGGGGGGAGATGCACGTGGAGCCTGAAGGTGGAAAGTAGTTTTTTTTTTCTCCTTTTTTTTCTTTTTCCTTTTTTTTTTTTTTGTGCTGGTTGTTGTTGTTGTTTAAAGTGGCGGAAACAAGGCAGGAGGCAGCTTGGGAAAAAGTGGAGCAGAAATGGAAAAATACAAACTCACCCGCTGCAAATGGTCTCTCGGTGCAAACTAAGGTGTTTTCGGGCCTTTCCCCGCGCGCGCCCACTCCCGCCCGCGCGCGCACCCCCGCGCACACACTCACTCGCGCACACACGCGCGCACACACGCACTCCGGGACGAGGGCCGGGCCGCCGCGAGTACAGCATGCAGCCGCCACACAATAAATAACAATAGATTCCTCCGCTCCGGACTAGCTTCCCGGAGCCCGGCCAGCGCCGGCGGCGGCAGAGGCGCGGGGAGCGCCGGCCCGGGGGCGCTCCCCTGCCCGCCTCCCGGCCTCCTGCCAGGGCCCCCTCTCCGCTCGGCGCGCCCCCAAGGCCCCCCCGGCGCCCCCGGAGCGAGAGCCGCCACCTCCCCCTCCCCGGGCCACACGGGCGCTGGCGCCCACCCCGCTCCCCCCCGCCTCCCGGAACAAATAAATAAATAAGGCGCGCGAGAGAGGCCAACACGTCGCGGAGGGAGATGTTGTTATTTTTTGCTGTTGTGCGTCCCTGACGTCACATCCACCTGCTGGGTAAACAACAAGGCTCGCAGCAAAAAAAAAAAAAAAAAAAAAAATCGCAATTGCCAAAGCTGGGGGGAGGGGGGTACGGCCTGGAGGGAAGGAGGGGGGGGTTCCAGGGAGATGTGAGTGAGGGGCTTCCAGGCTGGGTGGGGAAGAGGGGAAGGAGGCAGAACCCCACAGACCAGAGAGAGGAAGGGAACGCCAGAGCAGTCCCTGGCAGAAGAGGGATCTGGCAAGAAAGACCTGGAAAAATAAGGGGCATGGGGGAGGGGAGGATTCCTCGCAAGATGGGGAATTGGGGGGCCCATTCAGACACCAGAAAAAAGCGAGAGGGAGAGTGTTAACAACTAGGGACGAAGATAGGAATGCGATGGCTATTTGCTTGGTTTCTGAGCTAAAAATACAGAAGGAAGGAGAGAGGGTAGGCAAGGATGTGAGTTTCCTCCAGTTAAAAGTGAAAGTGTTTTGCCATCAGTGACAGTTGAAGGAGGGGGAGGTGGGGGTGGTGTCTTAAGCCCCCTTTCCCCTCTCCCGTCCTCCCTCGGTCTCTCTCTCTTTCTGCACTTTGTCCAATGAAAGAAGGCGAGTTCGGGAGGTGAAAGTTCAACAGAAGGACAAACCCCTGTTTGCAGGGAAACAGAAACCCACCAGCGAGGGGGGTTGCCCCCCCCCTCCCGTATTCCTGAATCAGGAGAGTGTAATGTGGGACGAGCTTTCCCCCTCTTCCTTGTCAGACTCACTGCTGGAATGTGTAGTTTGATCCACTTTGGGGGAAAGTGGCTGCTGCATCAGGAACTGTGCTCTTAACACGGTTTCTCTTAGGAAAACGCCCAGGGGCTAGCATGTCAATCAGTTGTTTAACACAAATTACCTGCTTCTCCCAGAGATCAGTCACATGCAGAAAGCTCTGTCCAATTCTCTGAAAAGGTGAGGTTTTTTTTTTTTCTTTTTTGCGGTTTTCAAGTTTGGTGGAATTTAGAAATTTGAAGGAGTAAAAGAGAAGCCTGAATGAAATGTTTTGAAATATACATATACATGTGTAAAAGAAAAGACACCGGTATTTCTTTTGTTTTTTATCAACCCAAATTGAGAAGGAAGCCTTTTTGTTTCCAAAATGTGACTTAGAAAGATAGAGGGTTCCATGGCTTGTTATTGTTAACAGAAATAATTTTTTTCAGACCCATCACCCCAGATGCTGCCAAACTCCTAAGCCAGCATTTCGAGCTACTGGCTGGCTGGTGTATCAGGCCAACTCTTAATGAGAATGTATGGAAAGCCACTCCTGTGGTTTCCTACAAAGTACTTGGGGGGGGGGGCAGGGAGAGGAAAGTACTGTTCCCTTCCTTGAGACCACCACATTGTAGGTAATCAACATCTTAAAAAGGTTATTCTAAATTCTTATGGATAATGTCTTTTTACAAATACTGTTAAACATTCATTTACAGAACAATTTAAAATCTCTATTGCAGTACCAGTGTAAGGCTACCACTTTAAAATTGGATCTGTTTTGCAAATAAAAAAATAACAAAGCCATTTACTAGTGCTACAGAAGAAAGCCAGAGAAAGAGAGACTGTACCAAAGTAATTCCAGCATAGAATTCATGTTGAACACATGCCGTGCAAGATTCTATGCTATCCAGACAAGATAGATACAGAAAATGCATTTTAGTTTGCACAGAACTTCCTAGCTTTCTAGAGATGTGGGTTCCTGTTATCTTGATTCAAGACATTAAGGCAGTAATGAAATGTATTCTATATTTTATACCATAGAGTAGGCACTCATGACTACAAAAATTAACAAAAAAAAAAAAATGCCTGTCCTGTGAGGAGCTCACAGACTAAAACTTTCAGTAATAACATCTAATATTTATTGAATGTTTACTATGACCTAGGCATTGATGCAAAGCTTTATGTCAAGTCAGTTCATAGTTGCAACAGTCCTTTAACATCACTGGAAATTCCTATGCTGAATTCACATGAAAATCTACGAAGCAGCCAGTCTATGGTGGCGGGGGGGGGGGGGAGCGATTGTTTTCCATTTTTAAAATGTTTATGCCAGATATAACATGTTTACGGTATGTGTTGGGTTGCAGAATTGTAACTCAGGAGAATAGCAATTTATTTAAATGTGACAAATTTATTCATAGTCTGTAAAGAACAATTCACACTCCGATACTGTTTTCCCAGACTGGAGGGTGAGTTTTTAAAAAAATTATTGGTATTGCCATACTTTAACGATCGTTAGGTTCCTGCTGATCTTACTCTGCATTTTTACTGCCTTCAGTTCTACATTCACTTGAAAGAGGGGGGGCCAAAGTCAGACTGGCAACAAGTTTTGCAGACAAAAGGAAATCCTGGTTGTAAATCCCATGATATATTGTACTCAATTTTGTATATAATACTGTCTAATGTGCCACCTTATTAAAGAACTCCATGTCCATTTGGCTTACATTAGGGGGAAAGTTAACTGCAGCTTAACATACTGTTCATTTTCAACACTGTCACGTTACATTCATGGGGAGCACATTTTAATTTCTTTATCTGTAATCAACTGGAAGTTTCTTTTTGTTAAATTAAAGCAAGAAGGGTTTTTAAATAAAGGGCATGGGTGTAGGACGCCACCTTTTGGTGGTAAAACAAATAGAAATCCCCTTTTCAACAGATGTTCCTGACATAATTTTATTCGAATTACACCAATGCAAAGGTCCTTGTCCCCGTTTGATTCTATTCGAAGTAACAGGAAAAACAAAAACACTGTAAAAGGAAAATTAGCAAACTCTGCTTAACTGCAACCAAAATTTCCTCTGTTATCCATAAGAGGGTATGAGAATATGCGAGTGCCCTGTCACATACAGTTACCTATACGTCAGACACCGACTTTGTTCTGCAAATACTTTGTCCACAGATACGTGTGCATCTGGGGAAATAGGAGCTGGGGTGGACATTTACCACTTAACAAGATACCTGAATGCTTTTGTAAGTTTAGAGTTTACCAGAAACTTTATATTCACCTAATTTGGTGTTTCTTAAACTAGAGTTACCACCTTCCTAATATTTTGCCTTATCTATATAACATGATAGTTACTGAATACTTAGTCTAGTACACTCACTGGACTCCAACTATTATGGTAAGTATATTAAATGCCTTCTTTACATCAACTGCTTTTTCTATTACTACTTTAAACGGGAAATCAGTATCGCCCTCCATAAATCAAAAACAAACACAATTTTAAAAAAGTCATTGTTTCCTTTGGTAGAAAGGGAGAGTGGAAAAAAATTACAAATTACAAATAATTATTTCTTTGAAATTTTTTAATGTTTTATTTATTTTTGAGAGAGAAAGAGAGGCAGTGTGAGCACGAGAGGGTCAGAGAGAGAGGGAGATACAGAATGTGAAGCAGGCTCCAGGCTCTGAGCTGGCTGTCAGCACAGAGCCTAACCCAGGGCTCGAACCCATGAACCATGAGATCATGAGATCATGACCTGAGCCGAAGTCAGACACTTAACCGACTGAGCCACCCAGGCACCCCAACAAACAATTATCTTTTAAAGGGAGAGTTGCAAATGCTGAAAGTGTTAATGATATGGATGTCAGCGGGGAATTCTTACCCTTTGGGGGTTTTTTGTTTGTTTGGGTTGTGTTTTTGGTTTTTTTGTTTTTTTAAGATGGAAAGATTGACATTTTGAAATCGGTGGCAGAGGGAGTATAGTTCTGTGCGATACAATGTTATCTATTGCCATCCTAGTGGCAAGTCAAGTCTCATACTAACCGAGTACAGGATTTCAATTTAGAGATTGGTTAATAGCTGGACAAGGATTAGAGTCCAGGTGCCCTGGCCCAATGCCTTTGTGTATTTCCCATCTTACACTTCCCGCTTCACAACAGTGGCATTCCAGCCCTCCTCAGACATTCTGCAGCCTGCCTAGCTTCTATGCAGCCCTTCACAGACGGGAGAAACTGAGGCCATGGAGGGTGGAGATCAAGTTCAACCCCCTACTCACTTCTCCTCTCCCCTCAGGAATGGCAGACATCCAGGTGGGGGTAAACACAGTGAAGGAAGCCGAGGAGGGTTGGCTCGAGAGATGGGGAGGAGGGGAAGGGAGAGGTTAGTGAAAGTGTTCAGATTCTTAAATGAATGTTTACACTCCAAGTCTCCTTTCTAGAAGATACATATGGCAAATGAAAATGGTGTGTTTCGCAGTACGAGGCAAGAAAACTGTGTCCTCTGTTTTGAGGTCTCTATAGGCCCACGCCAGAAATCAAGAGAGGATCTCTTGTTTTAAGGTATACCTTCTTACCAGGCACTCTGAGACCAACCACACTGAATAACTGAGTGGCATGAAAGGAAATGGTGGGAGACACCTGTTTAACAGGGACCTCACCAGGGCGCCTGGGGGGCTCAATGGGTTAGCATCCAAGTTCAGCTCAGGTCATGATCTTACAGTGCATGGGTTTGAGCCCTGCGTCGGGCTCTATGCTGACAGCTCAGAGCCTGGAGCCTCCTCCGGATTCTGTGTCTCCCTCTCTCTCTGCCCTCCCCCACTCATGTTCTGTCTCTCTCAGAAAGAAATAAACGTGGGGGCGCCTGGGTGGCTCAGTCG